CTCCCCTCCTCGCCCCCTCCTCGCCCCCTCTCCCTCCCCTCCTCGCCCCCTCCTCCCCCCCTTCCCTCCTCCTCCCCTCCTCCTCCCCTCCTCCCCTCTTCCCGCCTCCGTCCCTTCCCCCCCCTCCGCCCCCTCCCTGCCCCCCTCGCAGGCGCCACGGAGTTCCGGGGCACGGAGCCCCACGGCCCGCTGGGCCCCAGGTGGCAGCTGATGGAGGACCCGACCTGGAGGCGAGCCTTCCCCGAGCGGCCCTCGGGAGGAGGAGGAGGAGGCGGAGTGGGTGAGGAGGAGGAGAGAGGATGAGGAGGAGGGAGGAGGAGGAGGAGGGTAGGGGTAGGGGGAGGAGGAGGGGGAGAGGAGGAGGGGGGGGAGGGGGAGGTGATGTGGAGATGGGGAGGAGGAGGGGGAGGGGGAGGAGGGAGGTGGAGGGGAGGGTTAGGGGAACAACAAGTGTCCCATAAACAGAAAAACCTTCGGAGGTCCGCGCGGATTTCTCGGATCGGCGTTGGACCCCCCTCCCTGCGGCGCCGGAGGCGACGCCTGGCGGCGCCAGGCGGCGCTTTCGGCGCCGCAGCCTGGCGGCGCCCTGCGGCGTTTCCCCATGCAGGCGGCGCCGATCCGAGAAATCCGCGCGGACCGCAGAGTTTTTATGTTTATGTCACTTTTTGTTCCCCTGTGGGTGGCTGCGGGACGCTCTGGGAGGCCTCTGCTGGTGCTGGCAGGCTGCCCGACTCTGTGTCTCTTCTCTGTCTCTCTGTCTTTCTCTCTCTCTCTCTCCTCCTCCTCATCCTCCTCCTCCTCCTCCTCCTCCTCCGCCTCCTTCTCCTCCTCTTCATCGCCCTCCTCCTCGGCCTCCTCCTCCACCTCCTTGATCTTTGGGTCCGTCTCTGGGGTCGCCTCGAGTCCTTCGGGGGGGGGGCCTTGGGGCCCGATGGGTCTGTCCGTCCGCCCTTCTCCTCCTCCTCTTCCTCCTCCTCCTCCTTCCCCAGCCCCAGGACACACCACCGAACATTCTTTGGGGTTCACCCTGAGGTTCGGCCCGCACTCTCTCGTTGCCGTTTGCAATGACTCCCGTGCGCTCCTGACGCCTGCGGATGGCGCCAGGCTTTGGCTCTGCGCTGCGAGCGCTCGGCTACAACCCGATGTGGGCGCACGGCTTGCGGATGCTGGAGATCCTATTCCACACGTGCACCTACGACGTGGTCCTGCTCTGCGGGACGCTGAACTCTTGTCGCGTTGGAGACGGAGTCCTACGATCACGGATGGAAGGACGACTCTTACTCCGACAGACATATCAAGCGGACGTGGACACCATCACCACGACTGGCAGGAAGAGGACTCGCGGTTCGCGTGCAGAGGGGAGCGATAGATGTGACGTACGGAGTGCTCTACTACCCACCGCAGCCTCGATCCCATAGTGAGAACCGCATCTACCACGAGACGGTGCGCGAGCTCACTGGCTGGTGGCGTTCTGTCATGTTTCAGTTACCGTGCAGGACGCTCCCCCTCTTCTACGCTGACTTGAACGGTGGTCTGGGTGCGCAGCTTACTGGAGGACAGCGTTATGAACCACCTTGCTCGGCACTGGGAGATCCGCGCACTCGCGAACGCCGTCGAGGGGGAGCGGGCGAACTGGTGCGTCATCTTCTCACGGAGCAGCGGATGGTCTCGGCCACTTCGCACGGCCCCTGCGCCCCGACGTTCTACTCGTCCACCACGCCCCCTACGTGCAGCATGATCGACTACTGGTTCCTCCCGAAAGGCTGGCTGGACCGACTGCAGCG